GCTTCCCAAGTAGCTGGGACAACAGGCACCCGCCACAGGCACCTGCTATTTTTTGGTTCAGCTATCATTGTTGTTTGGCGGGCCCAGGCTGGATTTGAACCCACCAGTTCAGGTGTTTGTGGCTGGTGCCTTAGTTGCTTGAGTATTTGCATTTTGATAATACTTCCCAGTCTGCCTTGCAAAAAGTTTGAATGAAAAGTAGATCTGTTTTAACTGTTTCTTGTAATCAAATCTCTTTCATCACTAACTACTCAGGTAATTCACTTCTGCTTGTCAAAGGACAACTACATTCACTTGTCTTGGTAAAAGGATAGCTCCATATGCAGACTGTGATCCTGTACAGAAATGAAGAATATTGCTAAGGAAGGAGTACACTCTAAAAGGAATGGTAACTAAGCAGACTCAGAGAACTATTTCCTGTAGTCTGGATGGCCTTTTGCCCCTTAATATTTTCTAAAGTGAAATTATTTATTCTCTTGAGGAACAATAGGCAGCGAGGCTGCAGCAATCTTAGTTCATACCTTCAAGCCAAATAGCTATAGAGGCATAATTTTGAGACTGGGTAAGGCCAGGTGTAGTGACTCAAGCCTATAATCCAGGGGTCCTCAAACTTTTTAAACAGGGGGCCAGTTCACTGTCCCTCAGACTGTTGGAGGGCCGGACTGCGGGCCCTGGGACGAGTTGGCTGCTGAGCAGGACAAGCAGTGGCGGCAAAAACACCTGGCTGGCAGGATAAATGTCCTAGGCGGGCTGCATGTGGCCTGCGGGCTATAGTTTGAGTATGCCTGCTATAATCCTGGCATTTTGCAAGGCTGAGGCATGAGGATTGCTTAAGGCCAGGAGTTCAAAACCAGCTTGGGCAACACAGTAAGACCCCTCTCTCTAAAAAACCCCCCAGTTTAGCTGGGTGTGGTGGCACACAGCTGTAGTCCCAGCTACTCAGTAGGCTGAGGTGAGAGGATTGCCTGAGCCTAGGAGTTTGATGTTACAGTGACCTATGATCGCACCACTGTATTTCAGCCTGGGCAACTCAGTGAGATCCTCTGTCTCTTTTGTTTTTTTTTGAGACAGAGCCTCAAGCTGTCCCCCTGGGTAGAGTGCTGTAGCATCACAGTTCACAGCAACCTCCAACTCCTGGGCTCAAGCGAGTCTCCTGCCTCCGCCTCCCAAGTAGCTGGGACCACAGGCGCCCACTACAACGCCTGGCTATTTTTTTGGTTGCAGCCATCATTGTTGTTTGGCGGGCCCAGGCTGGATTCGAACCCGCCACCTTAGGTGTATGTGGCTGGCGCCTTAGCCACTTAAGCCACAGGTGCTGAGCCGATCCTCTGTCTCTTCAAAAAAAGTGTGTGGGGCAACACCTGTTGGTCAGTGGGTAGGGTGCTAGCCCCATATATCAAGGGTGGCGGGTTCGAACTTGGTCCTAGCCAAACCACAACAGAAAAATAGCGGGCATTGTGGTGGGCACCTGTGGTCCCAGCTACTCAGGAGGCTGAAGCAAGAAAATTGCCTAAGCCCAGGAGTTGGAGGTTGCTGTGAGCTGTGATGGCACAGCACTCTACTGTGGGTGACATAGTGAGACAAAGTGTGACTCTATCTCTGTCATTGCATGTTAAGGGCTGATTTAGAAATCATGATGCTGTTGCCAGCTCCTGGGAGAGGCAAGGGTCCTGCATAAACCAGATGTGGTATGTTCTGTGTCCCAAGAATTTAATAATGCAATGACTGAACAGAAGTCTTACAACCATTTTAAAGCTTGATAGCAAGTTTGGTCCTCTTGCTATGAGTAGAAACACATTGATCAGCCAGGTGCTCTGGCTCATGCCTATAACCCTAGCACTCTGCAAGGCCAACGTGGATGGAGTGTCTGAGCTCAGGAGTTGGAGATCAGGCTGAACAAGAGAGAGACCCTGTCTCTACTAAAAATAGAAAAACTAGCTGGGTGTTGTGGCAGGTGCCTGTAGTCCTGCTACTTGGGAGGCTGAGGCAAAAGGATTTCTCAGACCTAGGAGTTTGAGGTTGCCATGAGCTATGAAGCCACAACACTCTACCTAGAGCAATAGAGTGAGACTATCTCAAAACAAGGAAACAAAAAAACCCACATTGATCAAAAATATCAAGGACAATTCTGATATTCTGGCTCCTCCCTGATACTTCTTAGATTCACAGGATGCCAGATTAGCTTTTGTCAGATTAAAAATTATTTCCTTATTAGCTGCTAATGTCCCAGCTGGGAATAGAGGGGAATGTGTTTTTATAATTTAAAGCCCTGGTCATTCAGAGTTTTATTTCTCGCTTTAATCCTACTCCTGATTTAGTAGCTCTTATTTTGTCTGTGCTATGTAGTTAGTTTTTTTGAAAAAATACTTGAGGATTTTTTCCAACTACCACCTTAAGGTACATCAACAAGATTACTATGCCTTAAAAACATTAAAGACTGCGGCTCAGTGCCCGTAGCACAGTGGTTACAGCGACAGCCACATACACTGAGACTGGCAGGTTTAAACCTGGCCTAGGCCTGCTAGACAACAATGACAACTGCAACAAAAAATAGCCAGGTCTTGTGGTGGGTGCCTGTAGTCCCAGCTACTTGGGAGGCTGAGGCAAGAGACTTGCTTATG